GGGATCTATCATGGCTCACAGTAAAAGTTAGATGAGAGTCTGACTTTCGGGGGGGGGGGTGGACGAAGACTGAGCATCCTTGATAGAGCACAGCGATCAACGACACAGTTCACGATAACTCTGAGGTACCTAACAATGAATTAAGAGGCTTCAAGAAAGTGATAAATTAAGAGGTTGGACGAGAACTTGACGAAAAAAGTTGTATGGAAGAGGATTTTGGACGAGCTATCTGAAAGTGTGTGCCACCACGTACAGCTCTAGCTGCAGTAAGCTAGTAAGTAAGCTGATCTAGGGTAACTGTGTACATATCGGTGTGAATGGTGCAACCTCTACAACAGCTCTACTGCGCCGCCAGAACCGCCGAGGTCCTTATTATGCTCTATCTTGGCCGTTTTTTTTACCGACAACATACGTTGTGCTATCTTTGAGGGTCACATATCCACCCTTAGGGAAATCTATGAAACCAGTTCAAAAACAAGCGTTAATTTCATTTATTGTCTAATGTTTTTCATCTTACCACATTGGTAGTTTTTCCGATCTCAGAATTACTGTCCATATTCGTAAGGAAGCAGTACAGTGAGGACAGAACTATCTCGAGGATTATTAGGAACTGCAACTGCGATGTAGCTTCGTTAGAGAGCCTTACCCCAACATAGCTTGAAGGCACATAGTTCTCAAGATAAATACTAATGTAGAGTGAGTTGCTCCGACGGGAACGTTGATTCGATAGCGGCTGAAACATCTATTCCGCATGAAAAAGACTAGCTGGGAAGATAAAAGTTTTGAGAACTGAGGTTCAGATTACAGGTTACTCAGGCCATACGGTTTTCTCCATGGCTGCATCTGTACTTTTCAGAGTTGTTAGAGGACAAATTTGGCCGGGAGGAGGAACTCGATCGTGAGACCGCCATTGGCAAAGCGAAATTCTTTTACAAACTCTGTCTGAACGAATGTAAGTTCGTTTCAATGTTCGTTTCCTCATCCTTGACCTTGGTTTTATATCTAGGACATCTAGTGTGCCAAAATTTCTTGGCAAAATGAGTAATCTCAGTTGTTACACCGTTGACAGCCCCAGTGTCATCCATTCTATGATGGATCGCTCATCAAAGAGCGTCCTGTCCTGGGCAACTGCCATCAAGGCCTTCAAAATGAGTTCTTAGACAGGGAAGTATTTTTTTTAAGCAGAAATTTTCGACAACTGGCGGACAACGTTTAACGAAGTCGTAGCCGCGTTCGGAGGGTGGCCAAGTCTGGGACATCGAATGCCGGAACACGTGTCGATTGAGAAACTGTACGGTCGGTGCTTGTTCCTGGTTTCGCATCAATTCGTTGAGATCAAGAATATGCTCTGTTTCAGGAGACATGGTTGCTAAATTTCGAGCCGACTCACTGTTCAAGGCTACCGTTCAGCCGGATGACAAGAACTCGGAGAAGCACGTTTTATTAGTAAGAGACCTTTCTGAGTTGCAGGCATCGTTTTTTCATTCCTAATGAAGATCTCCTCGCTACGTATTCCATTGTCATTAGACACTTTAGGGAAATGGATGTTTGGTCTGAAGCGGCTTTCTTAATTATTCGCCCGAAATATGTGGTTCAAATGTCCCTTTGTCTTTGCTACTCGACCAGCCCATCAAGGCTCGAGTGGATCGTCAAGAAATTCGTGGCATCATAACAAATAGCTACTTTTCAAGGGATTGGAAAAATCACCCCTTGCAGAAACAGAGACTCTAAACCTTCTGAACTTGGTAAATCATTTATCAACTGGACGATATCGATCTTTGCGTTCAAACAGAGCTATTAAGCTGAATATGCTTGATGGAAATAGCTCGTATTACTCGATGTTTGATACGGAAGCACGATTTTCTGTTTATTTTGATGTATACAGAGCTCACACATACACTGAGATCAAACATCAACGACAAAATCCAAAGAACCTTCCGTCGGTTGATCGAGAACCCTTGAATCAATTAGATAGTAGCTTCATTCGAGTTACTTGCAAATAAGACTCAGTAGACGGATGACTCGAGTGCGTCGTCGAGGAATGGCTGCTTTCATAGTCCGCCGGTCCGCCGGCCGACACCTGAATCTTGATCGACACCGCAGGCCGAGTAGTCCCCCAGCTGGCGCGCACTTGCGGGCCGGCCGGCGGACTATGAACGCAACCAATTCGACCATTGGCTGAGTCAACGAGCGGGAAAGACGGGCAGTAGAATCGGCTTCGATTCGTCGCACGCGGCAGTCGCGGACTAGTTGCGTCGTTGTTGCAGTTCTGACGTTCTTCATAGAGCCCGATAGATATGCGATTATTCTTCTGGCACGGTTCTACTGTCAGTTCATTTGTTCCTGTATTCCTTATTCGCTGCGCTGCTTCTTCTTTTTCATATTCCTTCTTTACATTCCTTCATGCGCGACGTCGCTCCCGCAGCCATAACTGCGATGAAATTTAATTCACAACGACCGAGAAAAAGAAAGGAGTTGGACCTTCCCAGTCAACATTGAGGCTGGAGTATCTATTAGAAATAGATCTGGACTATTCGTCTTACTTGAGAACGGGCAACGTTCATAATAGTGCATTGGTACTGTATCTTACTGTAGTTTGAACGGCTTAGCGTCGTAGAAGCTGGCGACACCACCTTACAAAAAGCCTTAGTCTTCATGTTTTCACTCCACAAAAAATGCTCTTTTACAGATTGACCAACCAGCGTTAAATCTATTTGCACGAGATTTCTATGTATTAGCGGAAAACGAGGAGCGACTGGCTTATTTACAACTAATAAGGTTCGTTCAGTGTTGGCAATCCACACGTACATACTCCTTCGATTACTGATTTTTCGTTCTAGAGATGTGCTCGTGCTTCTGCATGCACCCGCTGAGTCGGCTACCCAAGATGCGGAGGAGATCATCGAGTTTGAGACCGCTTTAGCTAATGTAAGAGTTTCGAAAGCTCGACAAATATGGCTAATGTAGAAGACATGAGGAAGTGATGAGAGCCTCCGGGGTCAGCAGCAGTGAAGAAAATGTTTTTGTGCATCAGCTCTTACCAAACTTCATGTAGGTCTTACTTGTACTTGCTTATCGCCTCAACGTGCACCAGCAACAAATCGTTCGTTTCTGTCTTACACAATCGTCATCCACGATTGTGTCAGAATCCGACGAAGACGACGGGTAGACGAGCGCATCCGTTCATCTTAGAGCAGGCCTTCAATAAGATCGTGAAGATCCCGTGGAAGTCCACACAACTGTTCTCCTTACGTCATCCTCTCTTCTCATGATATGAACGATCCATCTAAATCTATCGTTTTTCATGTACTCTACCTAATCGCGAAGGCGGGAGATTCTGCGCATATCAGAGTTGCGAGTAGCTCCAGGGTTCTAATATGGAACAAGAAACAGGCAAGTGTAAACCACTGGCATATCACCTCTATCACCTGTCGTCCCGTTGATCATCAACTTCCTCAAGCGGGCGCCAGTAACGTTTCCATTCGTCCCTGTCATGAGCCAGAGTGGTCCAGTGAAACGTCCTCGCTTCAGGGACACGAGGCTCAACAATCCTTTCGTTGAGAGCTTTCGTGAAGAAGTTTGACCATCTCGTTGGCGGTCGTTTGATGTCCCGAGGGATCCAGTCAGTAACCGCCCTGGTCCAACGGTTATCACTATATCACATAACGTGTCCGACCCACCTGATCTTCAATTTCTTGGCGTAATCAACGGCATCACTGATCTTACTTTACTAACATATACCACCTCAAATCTCTCTACATATGAAGGGCTAACTTTTAGTGTAGGTTTGTATGTATTCGGCTCGTGTGACAGTCCGCAATAAGTCACGTAGGCGCGATGAGAATGGTGCAATGTCACAAGGGCGCATGTTAGCATGGGTGGGAACCTTCTTATGAAATAGCAAGTCTAATAATATGGTTTTTATTGATCTCGCTAACCAATACGGATCACTTTGTGACGTCATTGACTGGGAATCTTAACCTCCCTTCTTTTATCAAAATAACTCATCTGGATCCTTTCACTGTCAGGACAACAAAACCTTCGAAACAGAGAGAGGGTGGGTGAGGGTAGAGTGAGATGATTGAGGAAGTTTCTCCATTGACGTCAGGCATGGGCAAACACTCTGCAGACTGTTTTCTATTACATCAGTAATGTTTCTTCCTATGATTGAATTCAAGCGAAATTTTAAGGGTACGGGTAGGCACTTGAATTCCTTGCTCCTGGGTTCCTCCTGTTGAGTGATTTCCAGAATAAACCTAATGATAATTTATTTATGTTCACCTCGATTAGACTGTAGATAAGCAGTTGTAGATCTAATATGTGATGCACTCGTAACTGCTTGGCCCATCTGTGTTCTATATAAGTCATTCCAGAAACGTTAAATCATATTAAAAAAACATTCCAGAGCCCATGAGCTCATAAAGTAATCTAATTTGTAATGAAAAACGAGAGCAGAATTCGTTCCTTTCCAGATCACAATGGCTGATGATCAACGTCATGATATTGCCGAACTCTACACGAAGATGACGTTAGGACAAATGAAGCAAGAGCTGCCGAATTTTGACTGGCTGCTCTTCTTCAATGAAGTGTTTCGCGAAATTGTCGACCAGGTATTTCATATTCTCTTTTCTTGTTCTTCTCTTGTGCATAAGAACCAGCCGTATTATTATTCTGATAAGACTTGTCCACATACCATTTCTATGACTTTTCTGTTCTGATCCGAATCTCATCGAGGACCTTAGTGATGCCGTCCCCTATCCCTTCCCTTTTGGCCGTCGATTGTCAGAGCTTCAGGGTCTGCAAACCTTTCCACTTGACCCCCTCTATATTTCCATCAGAGCATCCTAACTTGGGGGTAACGACACTGCCCTTGAATTCCTGCTTAGCAGCCAGGCCATGTGTTGCAGAGGATTGAGGACTTTACTGTTCATGCCTCATTATTTCGTGTATTTTCTCAATTCGAGTTATGGAATACTGTTTATCAAAGAAGACGCCGATGAACCTTATCTCCCCCTTACAACCCTCGATCCGTAGTTTACTCGTGAGGCCTACAATTGACTGTGCATAATTTTATTAATTACAGTCACTAGGACCATTGCTCGAGGGTATCCACTAGGAAAGCTGGCATACTGACAGTGGCTGGTGAACAGTTTTGGAGAGTCCGTTCCTTAACTAGAGACGAAAGCTCTAGCTCGTCTCTGGACGACGCAACCGCGTTAGGGCGCAAATGATTCAACGAGCCACAATCTCTGTTCCTTTAATGAGTATTAAAAATCCCTTCGAATATCTGAGAGAAAAGGCTTTCCTCTCGATGAAACGAGGCATAATACAATGACTGTAAGTTGAATGTAAAGTAATGGGGAATTTATTTCTTCACGGCGTTTCACATTTTATAAGAAGCGATGAAGCCGAGACAGCAGCAGCGGAATTATGCAGATCCTTCTTGCGATCTGGCAAGCAAATAGTATTATTAAATTGATGTGATGCTAACGTTGGACGAGAAGCTAGCTGTCAATTGTCGTTAATCTTACATATTCGCAGAATCACTTGCAGTAATGAGGATCTCATTGGTTGCAAATCCTCCTCTGTTTATCCTTCTTTGCTCATTAAGGGACTGACGATTACTTCCGATTCCGCTTTCCTCATCCACACCAAGTTCTCGTGTCTTCTGTCTTTGAATAAATGTTATGACGAATTATTAGGCTTCGCTACGTAGGTAATAAATAGAAGGAAACCCAAAATGTGATTTGGGATTTGAGCGATAGTTCCGATTCCATCCCCTTAGAGAGCGAATGGTGCTTTCTCTGTTAGAAAACCCGGGAAAACCCATCATTTATGTCCATACAAGAAAAGTCGTATACGAGCCTAAGGTCTGTTTAGTAAGTCCCAGAGTGGGTCTGCTTTGTAAGTTCCAAAGTGAGGGGCAGGGCCTTAGGCCGGTGAACTTAGTCATGGTGTCTGATGTTGGGAGTATATTCCCATCCCAGCCCGAACCTTTTGTGACCATGATCTGATTTCGTTAACGGCATCTTGAAGAAATCCCTATCAGCAACCCGCTTTAAAAACTTTTTAACCAATTCATCAGTCACAGTTAGCTAATGTTAGCTAATGCTCCATGCGCGTCCCGATCCGAACGG